GTTCCGGCAAACTATTCAGATGACAAAATCGTTTTTATTTGTGTGTATTAGTAAACTTATTGTCGCTCAAACAACCAAAGAACTCCTTAGTTATTGAAAATAAGCTATTAAAAGGAAATTGAGCTTGATCAGAAATATAATTGGAAAATATCGCCTATATCAGTGTAAGCCTAATGTACGAGTGCAAGTCGTGTTTCTACTGGTCAACGCTTTTACTGTTAATCTGTTTTATGCTTTTTCACAGCTACATAAATGCTTCACTAAGTAAAGATAAATAACAAATATAAACAACTGATGAAAATAAAACAAGTTAGACTTAATTGGATATAAAAAATGGGACATTCTGATCAATAATATTTTAAAAAATCCAGTTTTATTTCTTTCATATTTTAATTAGATACTTTTTTATATGTAAGAGCTTGTCCTAATACAAGTACCACTGTTATTATCTTTCAAAATAAATGAAGATTGGTTCCATTTTATATAACATATGATTTCCATTCTGTTTATTTCTTAGCTTGAACTCAATTAGTACTGAAAATCACACTTACTGCACAATTTATCCTGTCGATCCTTCCTTTACGAAGCAGACTTACCTGACACTCTTTTCGAAATCAGTATAACCTAAGAAAACCACAGCGTGGGTAGGAAAGAGAACTTTTGGTATCATGACCACAGGGTATTATTGCAGTTTCATGTTTCTGCTAAAGTAAGTATTATCTTTAGTTAATTTCTTGAGTTAAAAAGTTTGTAAAAATGCTTCTCAATTAAATAATAGCATTTTCTGCAAGTATAAGTACTTACAGTTTGCCACTGAAGAAAGATAGTTGCAACAGAGAGATGTTGAGTCTAGAAGAAGCGAATGTTTCAAAGGTCCCCGACATAAATTTCTCTGCAACCACAGACATAGGAAGATCAGCTGACATTTGATGAACTCAGAATGGCAGATTGGGCATTGTCCTGAGAATTGATCTCAGCACAAGGTAAAAATGGATGACTGAGGGTTGCAGATGTTGAATGGAGCAAGGTAAGTCTGAGACTATATGGGGTGGTCTTTACAGGACTCCCAAGGTGTCTCTAACCAGAGTAACAGCACCATCTCTGGTCAAGATAAGTCAAGAAAAAATTAGCATGATGCTGGTAGATTAACTCTGCCAACCATGGCTGTTTCCCTAGAAGGTGAGACAGTAGGCACCAATGGGAAAAGACCAGGAACCATGGAAAAGTCACAAGACTCCCTGAGCTGAGAAGTATCCTGCTAAGATGAACATGGATTATGAAAAAACCTGAGGTCGTTCAGAGCTTTATGTAAACTGCCAATAGCAATTCGTCACCCAGTCCCCCCATAAACCTGAGTGTTTGAGTCCCCAAGTGCATCTACTTCCCTGTACCCATGACACTGGTAACATCTTAGCCAAGAAGCCACAAAGGAGAGAAAAAGTGGCACTCAATAGCAACCTACATTAGCTTTAGGATTGCAACCCTATTAATTGGAACAGACCTTTCCTTTACAGAACCAACCAGATTCTTTAAAATATATGGTGGTAGTTTTCCTCTCTATAACAGTGCTAATAACTTCCCTTACTGTAACACCATGGAAACTAGATTAACAGTTTCTTGTCATCACTTGCATGCACTTGATACAGCCATATCAGCCATCAATATTTACACTAATGTCATGTGACACTAAACACCTTTTAATTAGAAGTTCATAAAATTTAGCAAATTTATTCTTAAAATGTTGACAATAAATAATAACGATCCTTCTGTATGATTTTTTTGAAAACTTGATCTAGAAACTGCTAATCTAGTTTGCTTGGCCTAATACTTATGTATCTGCACTTGCTTTCAACCTATAGTTTTGCTTCTTTAAATCATCTGTCTTTAATCCAAATGACAAAAACTCTTTTACTCTTAGATGAAGCTGTATTAAAAATTTCAGACTGATAGCTTGTGTCTTGGTCAAAATTGAGCAGTTTTTGTTGAATAACTTTGCACATGCAGCTTATACTTGGACCAAATTTGACCTAATTGTAGGTTGTAAAGATCTATCAGTGTACCAAATTTCAAAAAAATTCATGACAATTATATATGTTTTTCTATCAAATAAAGTTTCCGTACTTTTGGTACGAAGAAAGAATAAATAGGAAAAAATTCAATCCAAATTGGATATTTTATATTTTGTGTGCTTCTTAATGGATTGCCTTGAAATTTGGTATGTAAAGTAAGGTTCCAGTAGAGCACATCCTCTGAATATACATGATAGATTGGATTACCACAGTCCGAGCTACAGGAAGTGGAAAATTGCTAAACTATCACTCCTGTTAATAACACACAGTGTGTCCTGCAGGTTGTTTTGGCTGCAAGACACACTACCATGTGTCTTGATTTAAAAACTAGAGATTCTTTTTTTACAGTGCAAGTTTTTGATGCCATGGTTAATAACCTATGTAACCATCTTAAGTCTAGTTATTAATCAGTTACTAGTTAGTAACTGGTATCTAGTAATTAATTAAAAAAGGAACTAATCAATAATTAGACATAAGGTGATCACATAGGCTACTAAGCATTACCACAATTGATATCTGATCACTACAACCTTAATGTAAGCACTTAGTACAAGATTTTATTAGTTATATTAACTGTAGCTGTTTTTCTGAATCTGGTATTATGTACAAGTATATATCTTTTTGATTCATAAAACTTTTTTCTTATTCTGAATAACTGAATTCATTTTTGAAACCTCAACAGAATCTTAATAAATGTGTAATTAATAAATTGTGAATTTCTTCCTTGGTTTAACAATTATAATTTTAGTTTGAGATGGTGTTTAGTTTCTTAAAATATCAACATACCAACTGTGAAATAATAAGCAAAATAAGCTGGTTATTATGCTAATACACAGATATTGCTCTGTACAAATATTGTGTCATTAAATCTAATCTAGATATATATATTTCATTCAAAATGGCAACAGTTCTTTTAGAATCTGATCTCACTGAAACATGTACTAGCCCTAAAGAAGTGGCAAAGGTGAAAGGTCAGTTATAATAAAAGTCTCTTATAATTATTTAGAATGTAAAGGTTATTTTTATAAACTTTATCATCAAAATGTGTAAATCCCTCCAGTATGCACTACAAATTTTGAAAGATAACTGTCAAAACTATGTTTCAACTAGAACGTTTTTATTTACCAACTAGGTTAATAAATTATGTCCATTTTGATATGTTCTGTTTGGTTTGTTTGTAATTAAGCACAAAGCTGCACAATGGGCTATCTGTGCTCTGCCCACCACGGGTATCGAAACCCGGATTCTAGCATTGTGAGGCCGCAGACATACCACTGTGGGGCAATATTAAAAAGGAAAAATATAAAGTCAGCTTGCACACACAAACAAATACTATCCAGAAATGACACATCATGCGGCCTGTTAACCGTTTATATACTACCAGTGTGTTTCTCGTGGGCCCTAGAATGATCGATATGACTTTCACGTCGCGATTGGTCTAGAGGAATCTGTAGCCAGTGGTTGTCAACATTTTAAGCATAACAAAATGTGACCAGATTTCAATGAAAATAATTCACTTAGGTAAAAGTACATATGACAATTTGTAAAAAATCTGTACGTGATAGAGAAAAAATATCATTTTCAGATTCAGCATACAGGAATTACTGTAGAACATGTAAAAATTTCAAGACAATAAAATCATCACAGACCTGTGTTATCCATGATTGTACAAGTAAGTTTGCTCGTACATTAGTCATAATATTGTTACGTATCTGTGTTCGTTTATTAATTTTCCGTAGAAATTCTTTCTGAAAAACTTCAACAATACAAGTTCTTCTTTAA